GGGATGGGTGGGGGGGGGTGGGGGGGGGGGGGTGTGTGTGTGTAGTTATTTAGTTAGATTTACACTCTGGAAACTCTGTCGGTTTAGCTTTTCTATATCAATTGACACAGTTAGAGAGCTCGTTATCTCGGTCGAGAACCATCCGCCGAGAAAATTTCCCGTTCCTGTTCTAGTTTAAAAAAATAATAGATTATAACCGACACTTACTTGAAAAAAGTTGTGGGGCTGTTAAAAACACCAAGCAGCGGACATCTTTTGAGAACGCCATCCCAAAGCACATAAAAACTCCCAAAACAACAGTGACAACAAATGCGAAATATGGTTCATATTCCTTTCCAAAGATAAATATATAATAGAAGATATATATCATAAAACACCCCACCACAAATCCTATCACGTTACCAAGTACTTCGTTTTCGTACGTGCCATTGACGCAAATGCGTGTGAACCACCAATCCGATTCCGTCCGAACTGAGCATGTGCAGTACTGTTTTATTTCGTTGATACATGGTGCAAAAATGCTCTTGATAACATTGAAGAAGTACATGCATGGAGCGCATGTACTGCTGCAGCAATCCGTTACCATCTCGTTTTTCTTAAAAATAAGTTTATAAAAAGAATATGATATAGGCCAATAGGGCTAGTAGAATATCGAACGTCATTAAAGCTCCGGTTTTAGTTTTCTCTCTTTAGTTTTAGTTTTTATTTTTTATTACCGTCACACTCAGTGTGGCGGAAGTGCGTGCGTAAGCCGACCCGGTCCCCCAAATTCTTTATAGAAAAAACAAATGGAGGAAAAAAGAAAAATTATAATTTAAGCCTGTGAGTACCACTTCTGGACATAGAGGTGCCTTGGTCTACATACATTCGTGGTATAGACCCTCAATTTAGAAGAGACTCACACATGTCCCCGACGAAAAAAAAGTGGGCGTGGTCGGGCGTGGCTCAAAATCTCTCGAAAGTGTTCCAGCCAGGAGGGCGAATCTCTCTAAAATCTGACAATTTAAGGATTTCGCAAAGGCTTCCTAGGCCTACTTAATCGATTTTAGAGTCAGGTCTAGGCCAGTACCCGGCCTAGGGGACCATGGACTACTAATATGTAGAAAATACAATTTTTTCTCTCCCAGATGAATTGTGGCTTTTCTTCCCGACGAGGGGAACCTGGCCCCCACCCTCCCCCTCCCCGCTAGCGCCACCCCTGTCATTTGCTGCAGCATTGTGCTCCTCCTTACCATGTTATCTATCCGTCCTTGCACTCCTTTCGGCTTTTTCTTCTCTATGAAACGAAACTCTTCTCGGGGAATATCATCCTTTCGACCAAAGAAATCGCCAATCTCGTCTTCTACAGCTTCTTGTATTCGATCCTCTATTTCATCGCGAACTTTTTCTTTGATTTTCTTCTTCAGTTTGTTTTTTGCTTTATCTTTTGCTTTATCCTTTACCTTCTGTTTCATTTTATCTTTCGCTTTCTTTTTTACCTTATCTTTTACTTTCTTCTTTGCTTTTTCTTTCATTTTCTTTTTCATTTTATCCTTTACTTTCTTCTTTGCCTTTTCTTTCATCTTCTTTTTCATTTTCTCTTTCATCTTCTTTTTAACTTGCTTTTTAACTTGTTTCTGTGCTTGCTTCTTGGCCTGTTGTTTGACAACCTGTTTCCCCGCTTGCCTTGCGACCACTTGCATTTTGATAGATGTTTACAGTATACTTTACTTATAAAAATTACAAATTAAAAACCTAAAATGTCTTGTGTATACTCACGGCATTATCGCCAACGCCTATTTTTCCCATAGAAAATGAAATTGCGCTTAGCGTTCTTATTGGTTAAACATTCTAAACACGCGCATTACGCAGTCTGCATACACGCACGACGCCGACTGAACAAACGTCAAGCCTTCAGGTCCAATGCGTAAAAATGACATCATGGCAATGCCGCAATGGCAAGACATCACAACTCATAAGAACATGCAAAGCAAAATTGAGTTGTCTCTATTATACAGGGTGTTAAATGTAGAAATAGTATCTATGACTCTTGAAATGGGGAGGGGGTGCAAAGGTAATGCGGGATGGGGCTCGTGATTTGGTGAGGCTGAGCCGCATGGCTCGTCGTGTAGGGGTTGAGCTAGCTCGTAATAAGGTGATTTGAGTTGAGGTGATATTTATTTTTAATATTATTTTTAAATTCCTCATTTTTTCGTCATCGCGAATACATCGCGCACCGCGATAAAAATTGAATTGTAATTAAAAATTACTTTCGGAAAACAAGCTTAATTAGAACCCGAAGAAAGTTACATCAAATTCAATATTAAGTAGGCCTATGAACAATTAAAGCCCCATTCCCGGCAAAATTTCAGTTTTTAAGAAAAATCAAATTTTTGTATAATGTTATAAAGATTTATAAATATAATACGGAATTGCTAGTTTAAATGAATTTAGACATTCCTAAGAACGAAAAAAATGTAAAATAAGACTGAAATTTGATTTTTTTTTTTGTGTTCCACACAAAAAATAAATGCGGATGAATTTTTCATGTTGATTTTGCGATAGGTCGTGAGAAGAAATATCGTAGGCGCCGAAAACATTAGCCTATCCAATGCTGCTAGGCTAGGCCTAGCCTTACCTCGATTTTGGTTCTGTTATCACACATAAAAACGGCCGACATGATATTTTCCGTTGCTAGTATTGACACTTGTGAATATAATAATATTTCACAGGAATTATTTCAAATTTGTTAAAAAACTGATTCTGACTGAGATTTTGACACTTAAACAAACATTTCTCAGCCTAACCGAACGACCGCATTGTGCGAGATGCGAAGTACAAAAAGTAATCTCGCGTACTGTAGTCGTTGTGTCTGTCTCTTATACACATCTCGCCTGTTACGACACTGGCTAACACGCCAATCATCCCCCTCCCTCCAATGAAAAATACTTTTCTACGCCACTGATACTGATCATATCACTATAGCAACCGATGACTGCTACAAACAGTTGGTTATAAAAAAAACTAAAATTAAAGACGGCGATCATGCATCGTACACTAAATGGAAAATGATATACTTAGGTTAGATTTAATGCATTCAAAAATTTCTTTCGGGCCTTGCAGGCCCTCAGGAAATTTTTTCAAGCATTAAATCTAATCTTATAATAATTTTCCTATAGCATACGGTACTATGCGGAGCTCTACTAATTGCTTGAATGGTGATGCGGCCGCCGTCAATAATAGAGGGCGCTGTTTGTGGCGTTTTCTTGTACTGTATTTGTGATTTCAATGGGTTAGTCAACATTTAAGTAAGCTTTAGCATGAAATTCAGTTAAAACTTATTACCAATATTTAATAAAACACAAGGCTTAAAGTTTTTCGGCGAAAAAAAAAATACAACAAAAAGGCCCGAGAGGGATTTGAACCCTCGATCTTCTGTTTACGAGACAGACGCCTTGCCACTTGGCCACCGAGCCAAAGCCAATGCGAAAAGGTTTTTTTGCTTTATTATTGGACAAACACAATTGAAGATACATCGTTTTTCCTGTGCTTTTGAATAGATGCAAGATGTTTTATGGAAGTATTACTGGTTTTCTTTTGAAATATGTATAATACTACTTGCTTAGATGATTTAGGCCTAAGGTTGGTGATAAAAACTTACTGTAGTTTAATTTCCTTACGGTGACGTCACCACTGAAAATCGCGCGACGACGGGATTCATTCAACTTTGAACTTTGAATGATGCGTGTTTTGATTTAATTTCGCGCGCGAAAGGAGAAAAGATAAGGAATTCGACTAGGGGGCCTAGCCTACAATATATCTAAACCAAAAGCCGCAGCCTAAAACAAGATTAAAGGCGGACAAAGCCTGTGAGATGAAAAACTGTAATAAAACAAAATACTGTAATAAATGATTGTGAGTATAGGCCTACTTTTACTATTTTTTTGGAAATCAGTATTTGTATTAGGCCTAGGCCTAGGCCTATTTTAAACCGTCCAAGCTGCCGTTGACAAGGCTTTAGGCCTAGGCCTAGTTTTTTTTTTAGCCTAGGCTATAAGTACTAGCGCTAGACCCTAGTAGTAGTAGTAGGCCTAGCCTAACCAGGTATCTAGGCTAGGCCTACATGGTCATGGGCCTAGCTAGCCAGCTAGTAGGACCAGGAGGAGAGCCTAGGCTAGCCTAGCTAGGCTGGACAGGGTAGGGCCTACAGGCTAGCCTAGTTTTACTTTTATTAGGTTGCGTACTGTAGTCGTTGTGTAGGCCTAGGTAGGCAAGGCCTGTAGGCGAAAGAAGGCCTAGGCTGTGCCTACTCTAGTAGGCTAGGCTAGGCCAATTTATATAGTATTAATAGGCCTATATAGGCCCTAGTAATATGTTATTCGTTCGTAGGTCTATAAAAAGACGTAGTCCGAAGCTGGAGTGGTTATATGACCCCCACCTAATGAGAGGGGACACACACCTCATGATGACGCACCTCTCCCAAACTTACCCCAAGCTTGGCTTCCCGGCCTCAGTTGGTGCGTAACGCCAAAATACTAACAATCTATGAAGAAACACATCCATCTTATTTTTTTTCCCTGATTTTTATTACCCAAATGATGGCATGTATGCCCTTCCTTGGGCCATTCTCATGACCTCTACTAGTGGATGGGGCACACTAAAGACCTATACCACCCATACTGTAAAGTTTTTTAATTGAAGAATTGCTAGGAATATAGGTGCCGGGAATCGTACTTGCTGCATAATTGCATTGGTTATATTAAGATTCGGTCAAAACAAAGTCTAATTTTCGGCAAAATCATCTCGGAAATCAGCACTTATTTCCCGAAAAACACAGATGGATTTCTAGGCCAAATTTTTGTGCAGAGGATATATCCCCCTTCGCAGGCCTTATCATAGAGATTGGTATACCACCACTTACCATTGCATTTGCAAATAGTTGTTTATTTTTATATGTGAATACTTTTTTACTCTCTTTGAGTATAAATATGATTGCTCCTGCATATTACAGTACATTGAATGGCAGCATTCGTTTGAGGTCTGCATATGTCGAATATTGCCATTATTCAAAAAGAAATATAAGGCATGAAGTTTGGAAACCTCTTAACAATATGACTTAATTCAATAATAATTAATATATTAAATATTAAAAATATCAACTTGTTAACTTTAAAAAATAAAGATGTGTTCACAAACTTACGATTAAGATTGCTACCGTAAGTATTAACCCTCTGGATACCGGATTCTTTTGTAGTGCAAACCCTTGAATACCGGATTCTTTTGCAGTGTAACAAGGCTTTTTGCGTTTTTTGAGTATACATCGTTCTGGTGGATTTTTGGGAACTTTCTGTAAATTATACAGAAAAATGTTTCCAAAAAAAAGAAAGCTTTTAGAATAAGCTTTCATTTGATGTATAATTTATATTTTTTTGGAATTTTTTTTTTATAATATAATATAATATATATAATATAATAGAAATGACGGAAAAATGCTACATATAAATCGTCAGCAAAAACCGAAAAAAAAAAAAAATTATAGTAAAAAAAAAAAATAAAAACAAATATTAAACATTCCTATTCCACACAGTTATATAATTTATTTACCCAACCATCCATAACTATATGCACGATCTTTCCATTCAAAAGCATCGACTACCCTTACATTTCTAGGCCTAGGCTCATCTTCATCAAGAACATCTCCGCCGTCAGAACTGCTTGAAGCCCCACCGTCATCATCGCTAACAGGCACGTCTAAGTCTCGCACATCTAAAAATTCACCTTCATCGCTGTCTGAATCAAAAATCAGGTCAATCGCTTGCTCAGCTGTGTACACATCTTGTAACGATTTTAAATTAATATTTCTAAAAATTTTTATATAAGCGCATGTGAGTTCTTCACAGATTTCGAAAGACAAAAGCTTCACGCATGCGTGTACAAAATTTCTGACGTATTGGAGCTAAAATAAAAACAGAAGAGCGATTTGAAAACCACCTATTTTTTAGTCACTAAATTTCGATTGCAGTCTAAAATGGGAATTCTCGGCTTGAGGTCAATTTCAACTACAGTCGAAGACAGTATCTAGAGGGTTAAAACTCCCATAAAGCTATTACATTAATGTTTAATTATCTGTTCTATGTTTTTAGATAAAAGAAATACGTAAGAATGGATTGCGAGCTGCTAGCTACTTGTAATGGACTTGGCTTTCTTGAAGACGGGAAGATATACAAGAAGGAACCAGATTGCTTAGGTAACTTATTAATTACTTATTGATTTGCTTTGCTGTCTTCAATCCACAAAATCAACCACTTTAATCTACAAACTGTACTACTTATGAGCATGTCAATAAGATCAGGTAAAAAGTTAGGTATAATTTCTGAAATCGGAATTGTGAAGTTGAAAGTTAATAAAAGAATAATGTAAAGCTTAGATTAATATAATTAATGTTTTAATAGGAATGTATATTAACAATTGAAGTTTGTTACTTTCACAGAGACAATTAAAGATCTGATTAAGTTTTTGCGACGTGAGGATGATACAAAAGAGGTTCGTCGTCAACTTGGAGGAGCACAAATATTGCAAAATGATCTGCTGCATATAGTGAAGCAGTATCCGGAGGATGAAACGCTTTTCGAAGCTACCATCAGGTAATTAAGATAGTATGGGTGAAAAGGTGCAGTGGTATTTACATCAAGCCAAATTTGGCGTGCATACATGTACATTCTTGGCTTTCATAATTCTTCCTGAACCGTATTCGGAATATACGCCTCCCTCAATATTCACCTCGGGGCATTTATTTTTTCCTCGGATAAACACCCCCTTAAATATCTGTAAACAAATCTAATGGAGCAACATCATTATCAACCCATTCTATTAATGTTCTATTCCTTCCAGTAGAATTACAGTTTTTCTCACCCAGTTGGGGTGAATAAGTCTTTATGATAATGCAGTAACACATTTTGTTGTAGGTGCACATTTACAGTGAAATTAAGCAGTGTTTATTTGAATACATACGTATCCATTTGAAAATCCATTTAACGCCTCCCATGAATATACGCCTTTGCAAAAAATCTCCCTTAAAACCCTTCTTAACTATAAAAGCCCTAGGGCGTTTATTCGATTATATACAGTAAGTTATAGAACTCATACCGCAATTACTCTACTAATTAGTGTGCTAGGTTCAACTGTGGGCTCCGACAGGCTCAGGCAAAACCCACCGAAAATTAATTTTAAAGCATTTGAAATTTCTACGTGTATTCCTCATTAAAAGTGTTTATTTGATGGAAATTGGTAGAGTATTACTCTTTTAGGAAAGTTATGAATTATAAATTCATTGGATATCAGCCATGTACTGTACTGTAGGATTTGAGAAAACAGCTTCCTAAGATTCCAAAATCGGAAGTTTAATATTAGGATTTGTATATTTTAAATAATCTTACTGTACTTTTCAGTTTAATGTAGTGATTGATATTTTGCAAAAAAATGTTCCTAAATATGTTTTCTTTCATAAAATGCAAAAGCATGGAATTTTCAAAATTCCAATTATCAAAAGTTTTGAGTGCTAGCATGAAATTAGAAATTGCGACAAGTATAAGGTTTTGCCAGAGCCGGTCAAAAAAGAACATTGTAGATAAAAAACTAGTAATAAACCAACAAAGAAAGCATTTTGTTTCCATGAAATTGAGTGACCACAAACTACTTTTCCTTTGCAAGGTTGATGGTAAACATCACAACGCCGGCTGAAGTTTGCTTTGGTAAGATCCCTGATGACAAGACGTTTCATCAGTATTACCTTGATACGATCTCTCATCTTCAGCAGTATAAAGAAGCATTTGCAGACGATGAGTTCATGAGCATATTGGCAGCAAAACTCAAAGGGCTGTTGGATATGGTAATAACACTCAACCGTCCCTATTACCTAATTTCATATACCATAATTGACCAAATAATAATAATAATAATAATATGTCGCTCTTATATAGCACTTCATACACAATGCCTCTAAGCACTTCACATTACTACCCCGGTCATTGGATCAAACACATATGGAACACATACTCAGCTCCCTGGGGAGAATTCCATAATATTGCAGCTACAAATACAGTAGAACCCCCTAATAAGGGGACACCTTCTGGAACAAAAAAGGAATATAAGTACAAAATTAGATAATAATTTAATAAAAAGGGTTTTTAAACATTGTGTGAACATGTGTGGTGAATACTAAATCATACTTCCTTTGATGATATTTTAATCAGCCAAATACAAAACTATTAACAGAGTGTTCTTTAACATAATTATCAGAAAGCTACAAATTCAATATAAGCTGAATTTTACAAATGTATAAGACCACACTGGACAAGCAGCCATCAGATTAAAATGTGTTAAAATGGTAGAAACAAGTTAGGGATGATATCCCACTTTGTTATTGCTGACTTTCCATGATTTTTTCAATTTTATATCTTGTTTATAAAATTTTCAGGAATGGGAGGATAGGCGGGATGAGCATACACTTCTAATGGAAAGAGTCTTGCTGTTGATTCGCAATATTTTGCATGTACCGTCCAATCCAGAGCAAGAGATGGTGAGCACCAAACTGCCGTCTGCTTCCATTAAAAGAAATATTATGATGATGTCATATCCCATCCATATATGGGAAAATCACAGGAACTGTATTTGTCACACATAACCTAGTAGTGAGGACGTAGAATTGAAAAAATTCAAACAAATCCATATGTATTTTCTTAACTTGTTTTTCGGGTAAATTTATATAAATTATATAAATCTAAAAAGTTTTAAGATTGTTAAAGCTGTTTAATGTTTTTAAATTTTCGATTACAATTTACATTTCTATTGTATTGTATTTTAACAATCCTCTTTTTTACTTTTTCTGGTTTTTTTTTACTTTTGATTGTTAAGTGCAACATCTGTTTTAATGTAAGGACCCCAACTGAAATAATGTTGTATTTTTAACTTGCTTGGGTTATCCTTGGTATTTTGTCGTATGTTTTCTATGTTAGCTTATTCTTTGTATTTATGTATTTTGATACTGATAAAAATCAATCAATCAACACTATATTTTCTTTTTTGCTAGCGAACTGATGATGATGCATCTGTACATGACCAAATTCTATGGGCTTTTAACATCAGTGGTATTGATAAACTGATCCTGTACATTGCTAGTTCAGAGGAAGAACAGCAGTGGTGTATGCATGCAGTGGAAATTGTCTCTCTCATGTTCAAAGAACAGGTAACTCTTAAAGTCAGGCTATGGAGGAAACATTTGTTGTAGAACTGATTGTTGTAGAACTGATTTTTCTAAGACAAAAAAAAGTAGTTTGACGACAAACTGGGGAACAGTGAATGAGATACAGATTTTTGAATATTTAAAAACTGGGCGGGAAAAGGGGTGTAACCGCCCTATTTAACATCTTTTTCTTTAAAATATCTAAGTACAAGCGTGTGGCATAGCATGTAAGGCGTTCGGCATTCAGTCTTAATGTCGAGTTTAAGACCATGCTTGTCACACTGCTTGCTTGAGCAAGAAACTTTATCTGCCTTTGACTCTCTTTACCCAGGTACCTGGTAGGAGGTGAATGATTCTGAATGAATTTAGTATATTTATTAGATTAGTATACTGCAAGTGTTTCTTCAATGTATAGACTAAAAGTTTTGAAACTTACACGACAGTTGATTGGTTGGTTGACAGTAGGTTGAAGAACCATTTACAGTATACTAATTCAACTAAAGACTAGATTCTTCCAAGTATTTTATATTAGATGATTATTATTATTATTATTATTATTATTATTATTATTATTATTATTATTATTGTTATTATTATTATTATTATTATTATTATTGTTATTATTATTATTATTATAGTGCTGATTACACATATGATTAGGAATGCTTCCCAAGGAGCAGAGGAGGTTGCACATTGTGTATGATTGATTCTGTATCCAATGATCAGAGAAAAAGTAACTTTAGCAGTTCTTCCATAATTGGATATGTGCCCTACTTCTAATAAAATAATAAAATAGATAAAGTAAATAAAATAAATGAATAAATAAAAATATATAATAAATAAAATAAACAAAATAGATATTAAAATACATAAATAAAATAAATAGACCTGGCAATAGCCAAAATCACTCCTCTAGGAATATACATCCTACCTGATAGCAGCTAAAATTTTGGCAACATAAAAATAAGTAAAGTATGGCTAAATAAGAAGAATGACCACCTTTATTGATGCCACACCACTTAAGATGAATAGTCACCCCAACCCACAAATATCTTTTGTTAACCCTCTTAATCCCGGATTTTTTTTGCAGTGTAACAAGTTTTTATGTGTACAAATTTCTTAGTAATTTTTTAGAACTTTCTGTATTTTTTACAAAGAAATGTTTCTAAAAACAAATGTTCCTTGTAGAAAAAGTTTTCACTTGATGTATAAATTATATTCTTAGGATTTTTTTTTACAAAGCACGATTTGAGTTTTTTGAAAATTTCGAAATAAACAAGCTTGAGGCATGCGTACAAAAAAATCTGAAAGCTTTGGAGCCAGAATGTACACAGAACAGTGATTTGAAAACAGCCTATTTTTCGATAGTAAATTTTGACTGCGGTTGGGTAGCCTCAACTTCAAATCCATTTCGACTGGAGTCGAAGTTGGAATCAAGAAGGTTAAATGGGTTTAGATCATTTTATTTTTTATTGGAATAGTTTTCAAAATGAGAACTGAAACGTGTTTGTCTTATTCACTTTAAACTATGTTAATTTTAATTTCTTTTATTAGACACCAGAGCAGTTGGCAAAAGCAGGAGTAGCCAAATCTCTAAGTGAGAGAGAAAATGAGAAAAGGGAGTTGGAGGCCATTCGACTACGAGAACTTGCTAAGCGTAGAGAACAGTTTTTACAAAGGAGTTCCAGGTGACATGGTGTTTTTATTAGAACCAAATTGACCATTTGGTGATATCAGCCCCTCAGTGTTGTGGTTGTTATCAGCTTATACAGCACAAGATGCTGAAGCCTTGTGCTTTACAAAAAAATAAATAAAAAAATACACTCAGGTATACAGTAATCCCACCCCCTACTTAACGTCTAATTTTATGTACCAGCCTTTCCTCGGGCAAAGGCCCAGGGTGTGAATTGAATGAGTATCTTTTAGCTGAGTTTTACAAGTACTGTAAAAAGAAATATTGGCTTTGAATTATAATAATTATTACTATTATTAGGCATGCAGTGCTGAAAAATCGCCATTTAAAAATCTATACAAATCCATTTGCTCATGACAGGCATTCTCGATTTGGCGGATCATTCAGCGTCAAAAACGTGAAGTCAATCAGCGATCGTGATTTGATTTATCACCAGTCGTTGAATCAAGCAAAACATATCAACTTTGACCTGGACAAGAAGCCTGCCAAGAAACCAAAGAACCGCATGCCGATGAATGAGAGAAGTGTTTCACGCAGATCAACTCTTAGTATACGACTATTCTTGAAGGACTTTTGCGTGTTATTTTTAGAAAATTGCTACAACACTCTGATGCATAATGTCAAGGTGTGTTTATATATCTCCTACGATTTTTGATGTAAAGGGCTACTGAAATACAGTTATTTTACTCAATTTATTAATTATAATTTTATTTTTATTTCTTCATCAATGTGAATAAGTACAGGTAAACATAGTTGTTTATAATTTTGTTTTATGATTTTTTTTTTACATTTAAATTTTTGATAATGTTTCTAATTCAGATTAAAATATTATGTTGGATTCTATGTAGATCAACAAAAAAATGTTCACTCACTTGCGTAATATCAGTGATGAAAAATAATTAATGGATCAAAGTGAACAATTTTTAGTTTAATTACAATCTCAGTGGTATAAAATTCAAAGACCCTTGAACATGAAGTTTTAAATGGTTTGCTTTTTCTGACATATTCAGGACCATATCTTACATGAGCGAGCTCAACAGAATGATGAGACGTACTACCTGTGGGCTATGCACTTCTTCATGGAGTTTAACAGGATTTACAAATTTAGAGTTGATATTGTAAGGTGAGCACATGTTTAATGCTATCAAAGATAAGTTCCAGTAAAGAGTTTTGCTTAGTGTTTGAGTTGATATTGGACATTATTTGTATGTATTTATTGGTTTAGTTGTTGATTTATTTAATGAAGTATTTTTTTATTTGTTTATTGATATATTAATTGATTGTCATACTGATTTATTGCTTGATATTTGAGGCTTGCCATCCCAAAACCAGTTTATTGTCGATGAGTAATTAGCATAAGAATGTGGCAGCATCGTATACTTTAGTACAGAGAATCCGTAATATTTATACTCTTAACTTTGTTAATAATAAGTTGATTTTAGTAAATCATTTTAAAGCTTATAAGTTTGAGAATACAAATATACTGTATTATCAAAAATTTTTGTTTTAGTCACTGACGCTGGTTTTGACATGGCAAGCCCCATATTGTTCGATTGACAAATTGCTTGATTATTGTGTGATTTGTACAGTATATTAATTATTTAATTGATATATTTAATGTATTTCTTGATATATCTTGATATACTGCCTGATTTATTGATATATTGTCTGATTGTTTTCAATGCTTGATTGCTTTATTGATTGATTGAAGAGGGAAATTTCAGACAGATGGTACAAAGTAACATTTTCAATTCAATGTTAATTTCTTATTGTTAATATCTCAATTTATTTTTTGTTTTGGTTTCTAGTGAAACGTTCTCGGTGCAATCATTCCACTTCATTGAAACTCAAATCACAAAATACCTGGATATGTTGATGACAGAAAAAAAAGAAGTTGTCTCTTGGTCCAGAAGGTAAGAGACTGATCACTTTCAGAAAAAAATAACCCCATAAATATCTAGTAATTCATTAATTTTGTTAGAAAAATGGTCACAGGTCACGGTCACACAAGTCTGATTTTTTATCCTGAGCATTATAGAAAATAATGGAATGGCCTGCCTGCGTCTTGTTCAGTATTTAGGCACAGGGCAGAAAAATGAAGTGACTACTGTAGTGTTATTCTTGTTATTAATATTTTGATTATCTTTTTATTTGCTACAAGACACATGTTACTGTGATTGATTAATATAATAATTGTTATTATAAGTCAATCGTGACGTCATCACTGTAACTCCCAATGTTATTTACATACTCCCCAGCGTCCGCTAATTTTTCTATTAGTGGACGCTTGGCTTGGTTTTTTTTATTTTCGTGTGCAAAAAAAATCCTCATTTTTTCGTCGCCGCGAATACATCGCGCACTGCGATAAAAATTGAATTTTGATTGAAAATTACTTTTGTAAAACAAGCTTAATTAGAACCTGAAGAAAGTTACTTCAAATTCAATATTAAGTATGAACAATTAAGGAATTGCTTATTATGATCAAATAATTATATTTTCTATACAGGTATAATATTGTAATTACTAAATGTGTAACAATAATTTATAAAATAAAATTTTTAGCTTCTTACAAAAAATAGAATGTAAAAATATATATATAAAATTGGAAAGGAAAACTACAATTCATGTTCACATGTGTTCACACAAAATATTGTTATTTGGCAGACTACATCTGTGTCTTCGATGCTACAAAGAACTTCTGTTGACAGTCGATACAATGGGTCGATCAACGGATGAATCTCTCAGAGACACTGCACACATTATTACAAGTAATGTTGTGTATGTCATCGAATATCGCGAAGTCTTTATAAGTCTACTGAAGAAATTTGATCAAACCAAATTCACACAGTAAGATTAGAAAACATATAATATTTATGTTTTAAAAACATTTTTATTTTGCTCTAGCATAATATCTTGAAATGCATTCTAACTAATCAAGTTTCATTTGTTGAGTGTATGTTGTTGAATATGTTAAAATATTACAAAGATATTAGTAATATATGCAAAAGAATAATTATATATGTAATTGAGTTAATGCAGTTTTAAGTAAAAGTATTCATAAAACATAATATTTATTCATAAAACATACTATTTATGTTTAAAAAACAATTTTATTTTTCTCGAGCATAATATGTTGAAATGCATTCTAACCAATCAAGTTTCAATCATTTATTGAGTGTATGTTGTTGAATATGTTATAATATATTACATAAGATAATAGTATTATAATATATATATTACAAAGATAATAGTAATATATGCAAAATAATAATTATAGATGTAATCGAGTTAATGCAGTTTTAAGTAAAAGTATTCGAAAATTAATTGGTACAATATTCAACAATAGTTCAGTTACTTCCACTTGCATTCCAGAGGATATTTGAAAGATTTAGTAGAAACAACACATGTTTTCCTGAAAATGCTAGAAAGCTTTTGTAAGAACAAGGCTAATGTTATTGTACAGAAGAAAGCCAGAAAGAAACGTAAAAAGAAAAAGAAAGGTTTGTGTGCTATCTTTTTATGCACTTTTTTATATGAGAAATTTCATCATGCCCCAGCAAGGCATGATCACTTACCTTCCAAAGGATTGCTACTTCTCACATCTGGTATACCATGCATAACTATTTACGTGTGAAATCCCTGGTAGTCCACTAATTATGCAACAAAAAGTGTACCTAGGACAAGTAAAAACTTGCACTTATATCACTTGATCCCAGAACACTACTGTTGTAGTAATTGGTACAGATATGGTACTATATACTGTATTAATAGTGTTGTTTTTGGTTGTTATTTCTGTTCTAATTTTATTTCATTCCTTCCAGCATATACATGACAAAAAAAACCACAAAAACAAAACAAAGACAAAGAAAAAGGGAGGCTGAAGAGGGGTAAAAGAACTACAAAACTACTATCACCAGCTCCAACTTTGAAAACTTAAACATCAACATTAAAAATATAATATCATTATTATATATTAATTCAAATATAAAAAAAATTATTGTTTTTGTTGTTGTCATTCTCGTCAGTTTTATTATTTGTATTGTTTTGTTTTTTAATAATATGATTTATTTTGATTGGTGTGGTTGTGGTTCTAGTGTGTTACATTTGCATGATGACAATCTGACCCCTCTTGGGGGAACTAACAAAATGAGGATGATGATTGTCAATTTGTTAATATACCTGAATGAAAAACCAATAAAAGTCAACAGATAACTTGCCCTGCGAACATAATAAATATTGAATTTACAAATCTCCCACAGTTTTTACTGCTATCGGTGTTTATAGTAATTTGCAAACTTCCACTAAATCATGTAGCTTTAAGATGTCAGATGCTTAGCCCATGATATTCTTTGTATGCATATTCCTTTCAAACCTGCAGCTAATAAACAGAATACACTGTCTGAGGATGCGTTGAATGCACAATGGGGAAATGTGTCTAGCTCCTTGTCTGCGATGCTACAAGGTCGGGAAGATATCCCCGAAAATATTACTCCATTTGATGCAGCTTCCGATCAACCAGTTGAGGACCAAAGGTAAGGTCTTGTTACCACAAAGGTGGAGTTCATGTGGTTGGCTTGTGATGTCACTATATGCAAATATAATAAGTGTTGTGTTAAAATAAATTAAGTGATATAGTGACACCTGCTTGAAAGTAGTTGAGGCATGTTCAAGGCTGTAACCAGTGGGTGTGGGGGTGTTGAAAAATGGATCAACTGCCTGGAGCCTATTTAACCATGAGGTAGGAGGCTGTGTAATTAGGCAAAGCTCTTTACCTACATTTGACTCTCTCCACCCAGGAGTACAAATGTTGACTTGGTAGTTTCAAACACAAAATGCAAAAATTACTGTTGCAACATTATGGAATTCTCCTCAATGAGTTTACAGTATGTGCTTGATCCAATGACAGGAGGTAATAAATGTGAACTGCTTAGAGGCTGTCTCTTATACACATCTAGATGTGTATAAGAGACAGATACGATCCGATACATTTAGGGTGTTTAAAGTAGAGAAAAGTGTGGCAGATGATGTCCGAGGATGAACATCAAGTACAAGCCTCAGTTTTGTAATGATTGGATATTTGCAACGACGGAATTACCCCTGGATCCCTATGCACTACAGCAGTAGTCAATGTGTGGAAGGATAATAGTATTATAAACTAAAAATTTAGTATTGGAGTCAAGATAGTTTTTAGTACGTGCTAATAACGAAATTGATAAAGCAAGTTTGGATCTAATGTAAGCTATTTGACATGAGGATGCCATGTCATCTTTTCGTCGAAGATAATACCAAGGTGCTTATGACTTGTGACTTGCTTAAGACTGTGGTTAACATTTATATTAATAGTGTTATTATTTTTTAAGCGGTGAGGAATGCCAATTAACAGTTTCAGTTTTTTCCAGATAGTTTCAGTTTTTTCTGAAATAGTGAAAGCTTGGAAGTCAAGTAAGCTATATTTTCTAGAAAGAAATAATGTGAAGTGAATGCGAAGTATTGTTATCATTCTAAAATACATTGCTGAAAACAAGTCACTTTGTATCTTGACTGGTCATGGACCTTTAGTAAAGGTTTGTTTTGATTACATTTACGTGCATTCAGAATTTGATGACAAGAACGAACTGTATCATGCTTCCAGGAAGATTAATGAGTGCCAAGTATTCTCATCATTCCAAAGAATATCTTAAGACAGGATGATGTACTTAACATTACAGATGGTTTTCAGAATTCAATAGAAGTTTGTTGAATATTGAACCATCTGGATTCAAAGAGAAAAAGTAAGGGAAACAAAATTTAATTCTGAGTTTAGGAAGAAATAAAGGCACAGTTCAATATTATTTGGACATACATCTGTAAAATAAAGATGTGTATAAGAGACAGGTATATAGGTCCCTGGTTTTAAATTAATTTACTTGAAGGTCCAAATTATTTTTAGAGTTGATATAACAGGCCAAAAGATAATATCCGAGATGCAAGCAACCTGAAACTCTTGGGTACAATGCCCAAATCTCCCTGCTACCACAAATTCTTTGAAGGTTTGCTTCGGCCTTTCAAATTCTATTTTTAACAGTGGCGGATTCAAGGGGTAGATGAGCAGGCATGGGCCCACCCCCCTAAATTTTATTTTCATCAAATAAAATAAGGAAAAAAGGAAAATTGTAATCAAAATCAGGTCAGAGAGTACCATTTCTGGCCATCTAGATGTGCTATAATCATAAATTTTACCTTAGACTCAACCATGGTGGGGCCGAGGTGGTGTAGACTTCCTGGGCTCTCTCTATTCCGAATTTCTGGATCCACCACTGTTTAATTTTACTGCAATATTATGACACACAGCATTCATTATAATTATATTGAAACCAAAGACCGATTTAATATTTTGCCAAAAGAAGGCACTTCAAGAACTATTTCTTCTTTGTTTTAAATCATCACAAATTGAGAGTGGCGCCAAGATTTGCTCGACAATGGGGAAAGAGCAATGTCACTGAGTTGCAAGCAAGTTGTTGTAATTCATGGACCTGAAACTCTTGGGTACAGTGGTCAAATCCCTCTGCTGGTGCAAAGTTCACTGTGAAGGTTTTCTATTTTTAATCTTTTCAATACTTATGTATTAATCTGTGCTGTTGTAGAATAAAAGGTGCTTGCACCACTAAAACTGATTTAAATCACCATCAATCATATACATTATGTACTTAAGTATGTTAAGTCTAAATGCACCCCATCGTGTTAGGATTCAATATTTCAACATTAATTATGTCATCATCAGGAATCAGGAATAAGTCTCTTTTCTATTTTCAGTCTCTCTTCTTTTCTAATTTCCTGTTCTAATTCTATGTTCTAATCATTCTTCTCATCACTGTAAGTAATTTCACCCCTTTATAATGGGACCAAATGGGAGGAGCTATATCAATTCCAAGAATTACTATTTTGAATTGATGAATAACTTATTGATTTTGAAGTGATGATAAACCAGGGCTACATAATCATAAATTTTCTTACCTCAGCCCCAACCATGGTGGGGCTAAGGTGGTAAAGATCCTCCTCTGTCAAAGCCCCTCCCTGATCCCCCTCTATTTTAAATTTATGGATCAGCCACTGTTACCTAAATCACATAGAAAAACATTATCCTCATATGTTGCTTATATCAAATTTCAATCTGAATTTCCTTCTTAGTTAAAATTTCTTTCTGTAGTTGACCACAAGTTAGTGCTGCAATGTACCTGTTAGTACCATGTTAATACTGAAAATTTGTTTCATCTGATCAACTTTTGTAATTGTAATCACTAATTATTCACTAATTACTTTGATTAAATATCATTCATAAGAAATTATAACTCAATAGGCACATAGATATAAAGTTTGCTTATACCTTAATTACCTTAACTAAATCTTAATACAATTTCTACTCTGCCTACTGGTACCTAGTGGCAGTCTCAAAGAGGGGTCCCAGGGCCCCATAAGTTTATCCAAAATAATAAAAATTTATGGATCAGTCACTTAAAAAAAAACATTATCCTCATATTTTGTTTATATCAAATTTCAATCTGAATTTCCTTCTTAGTCAAACTAACCCAAGTTGAAAGTTTAAATGACAAATCATTTCAATTCTTGTTAGTACTGACAATACAGTAGTAAGCATATAAGCCTACACTATTTCATTACTTCCTTATGACAAGGAAACATGCAAAAAATTTAAACATGATGGGAAGCCTTTGGTTAAAGGAAAGTCGCTTAATGTTTTATATTCCTAACCATCCCCATCTATAGTAGAATTGTTTTTAGAGTATAAGCATTTCATCTGGCTGATCAATATTTCATCAAACGTTTACTTGTAAATCTTCTGATGCATCTGAAACAATTAAAAAAGAAAATATTTGGCATTTAGTAACTTAGCTTTATCAAAATCAGATTCCTCCTTTTTATAACCTCCATGATATTTTTAACATTTTGATTACAACATGCATGTTTATTCTTTTATTTTACTGGTAAATAGGGAAGTTTGGACTGAAGGGGATGTATTTGGTGCTGTTGACATTGAACCTGAAGATGAGTTTATGGCCCTTCGTGAAATTCTCATGACCAATTTAAATGGTAGGATGCTCTTTCAGTTTCAAATTGTCAGTGGCGTATCTAGGTGTGAGCACTCCCCCAACCCCCTCCCCCAAAAAGATATTCTTTAATTCAAATCACGTTATTTTTCAATTTAGCACACCCTCACCTAATCATCAAGCGCCTCCCCCCGTGCCTCCCCCACCCCATAAGACTACTAGATATGCCACTGCAAATTGGCATATATTCTTTCCAAACATTTGTTCATATAGTTTCATATATTCTCTCTCTTTTGATTGCAAATGTGACTGCTCTGCCTCTAGGGGGCCACTATCTTGGTCGCTGTCCCAGAGCACCCATTGGGGGAAAATGTGTAACCTTCTCCTTTGTTCGCGCCACCTAGGTAGAGTTCTGGGATTAAGCCGGGGCAGTGACTGATGGTTGACCCTTTGAGACTTTGCGTTGTTTACCATAACATATTGTAATTTCACAAATCTTTGAATTACAAACTTTTTATTAATTAACAATTAAGTGATAAAATAAATAATGATTTGGAATTGTTGAAGCGCATAGAATTTTAGACATGCGCTACATAAATATACTGTACAATAATAATAATAATAATTAATAATAATAATAATATTTGATGAAATATGTAGTCCTCTCTTTATTGCTTTCCAACTTTATTGGTTCTACCCTTAGGCCACACTTTGCCCACATTGAAGCCTACTTTTTATTGAACTGAGAGTAATCATGCATGTCAACACTTTATTGCAAGTAAAATTTGTGCCTGTTTTTTTTTTATACAATTTTTTTTGTAAATATGTTGCTGAATAAATTTTGATTAAAGTTATGAGTTTAATGTACTGTAAATGGCAGTTGAGGTTTTGTTCGGTTTCATTAAATGCAGTAAAACAACAGGAAAAGAAATTCCGGGGTATTTATTTGAAACACAAGCTTTTGACTATAAACTATTATTCATAATTTTTTCATTGTGTTACAGGAAGAAAGCATGTTTTCAGTAAACTATGTTGTCATTAAGCCAATTTTTGTACTGCAGCAGTTCCCAGCAAGATTTCAGTCGGCAAAAATCTGATTATTGTATATGTTATAAAGTTTTATAAATGTAATACGAAATTGCTAATTTAACTGAATTTAGACATTCCTAAACATGAAATAAATGTAAAATAAGAATAAAATTCGATTTTTGTGTTCCACACAAAAAATAAATGCGGATGGATTTTTCATGTTTGATTTTGCGATAGGTCTGCAAAGAAACATAGTAGGTGCCGAAAACTTTAGCCTATCCAACACCGCCAGGCTAGGCCTAGCCCTACCTCGATTTAGGTTCTGTTATCACACGAAAAAACGGCCGGCATGATATTTTCTGTTGCTAGTATTGACACTTGTGAAATATAATATTTCATAGGAATTATTTCAAATCTGTTAAAAAAAATGATTATAACCAATATTTTGACAATTATAGAAACATATCTCAGACCTACTCGATCAATCATAGTGTGCAAGATGTGAAGTACAAAAACTAATTTCATTTAAGAGGGTGCATTTTATTGACTGTATAAAGTATACATTAAAGTGAGAGCATTCCAGCGGATGCGATCTACAACCTCTGAATTTGCCTAGTAACGAAGAATTTGAAAATGGTTATCTCCTATGAGAAATATGCATTTTTTCTAAAAAAAGAAATTCTTTTTTAAAGAAATTTTTGCCGGGAATGGGGCTTTAAGTGTTCAAAAAAAGTTCTAATGGTTAGCTAAAAGCCCTGCTTCTTCAAGTTCTTGCTTGATTTATATATGTGAGGTCTCACCACAAAATGAGATGCATCGTTCGTGAAATCATATTGAGATATTCACCAAAAGAGGCCAAAGTCAAAATTATTACAAAATGTTGATTTTAAATAACTTGAAACTTATATTTTATGATTGCACAATTTTTGAGTGAATTTTTGTACTAAAACAGTGTTCTCTGTACATATTCTGTAATCCTGTTCCTATTATTTGTACAGGTTAGTTTATTTTTTAGGTTGATTCTCTCAAAAACGTGGTTGTCATACAAACTTTAAATGCTCATGTCTCTTGATCTACTTATCCTAGGGAAGCCATTCAAATCCAAATTAAAGCTTATAATGTTATCTACCCAAATAATATATTATAAACTCAATTTTTAATTTTCTAACCATTAGAGTCATTTTGTGGTGAGACTTCACATATGATGAAATAGTCAACAAGTGAATTTCCAACAACATATTGTGAAAAAAAATGAATATATAAAATATGGATGCACAATTCATAACTTCTTAGTCCAATACAGTCAACCCACATAGTACAGTTTGTCAAAAGAGAAAATAATATGAGGTTGCGAAAAATGCATAGTGAATACCACAGCTATTTTTAAGGGATTATCAACGTTGTTTTCTTGGTCTGATGGCATAGCACACACGGAGCTGACCTATGCCTATGCCCAAGTCAAGCTAAAAGTGAACTCTAATTACTTAATTTTCTCTTTTTGGTGTTTGTTGGT